AACAAAAATCCGAAAAATGGTAGGAAAACCAAAATTATTAATAGTGGTCGAATCCCTGGCTTAAAAACAGATTACGCCATATAAATCAGCTAAAGACAGATATCTGGACAATCGCAGCTTCCTTGAAAAATCAGAAAAACCAAGCAAGACCCTGGGAATACCGTGGACTTGGCCGGGCTGCGGTCCCACCCCCTCGCTCTAGATGGGCTTTTTATGAGCGACACGGGGCCCATAGAGTGCTCTAGCCCACAGAGAGCCGCTTTCACCGAAAAAAATCGCCCCGTTCCGACAGACAACATCAACAAATGGCATTTTAACGATGGGCTGGGCATGCCGTGGCCCGTTCGCATGGGTCGAGACGGAGAGCGAAGAGCGCGCTGGAAGGAGTCGCGCCGGTTGGCACCGAGTGCCAGATGCTAACATTCGGCTAGATCGGAACGTTTAGTGCTCGAAAATGATACTTTACGTTTTACCGGGCGCTGAACGCTAAATTAAAGCAGGTGCTTTCGCAGCATCCTATTTTTCTAATAAAGATAGAGAACGTGTTTCTAAACTGTTCTCAAAACACCAAAAAGTAAGAAATTGTTGTTAAACATACAAAAAATATAAAGCAATTTCAATGCACCAAACAATGTAAAAACCTAGAAAATTTGAAATTTTTGGCTTTAATTAATAGTTTTCCACTTGCAAAAACAAGGTCTTTTATTACTTTTTATTATGACGTTGCTGGGCATTACTGGACTTAATGTTAACTAACGTACCTAACGCATAGCAAAGCACCGTTAAAAGCCGGTAAAGAATGACTACACGAAACCCCTCTAAACGGCCGGCAAAAGATACACATGCGGCCAATTAACAAAAAGACCGGGTGGTAGGGGCTCCTGACTCACGGCTACCAAAAAACCAAAGTGGGTGATTGCCCCGAGATTCATAGCAGACGGTTCACGCGTTTGGATGGGCTGAGCAAGAGCTTGAGGTGCTTGAAAAACGTTATCTAAACGTGGTTTAGTAGCGTCAATCTGTTCTTTCGCATTATCGGGGGTATGAAAACAGAGCCACAAACTTTTTTCCTGAGTTCGTAGCTCCGAAACCTGCTAAATCGCCTAAAAATACCTGAAATTCCTTGGTTCCATTCTTTCGGCCCAATCTTTCACACCAAAGACTTTGACCCGCTTTCCAGTTTAGTGTTTGAGCAACAACCAAGCAATTTCCCGCGGTGCCCTTCATCTCGAGCAGGAAGTTTGGCACTTTCCCTCGCATGACTCGACCCTCCTGATAAAACTCCGAAGCCAGGCGCGACCCCCAGAAAAAAGTGGCAAAGCACCGCAAACTTGTGCTATAAGCTGACCGCCGGGGTGGCTGCCCCCTGCTCGTGATCGTTGTTTTCACACGTTAGGCGTGAAACGGCCGCCGGGCCGCGATAAGTGAAACGCGCATGTTTTACGAGCGCGCCAGCCAATCGTTTTTGGGCGTAATCAGATCCATTCAACGGCCCAGGCTCGGCGCCCGGCTGCAATGTTTATTTTCACGGTTTCTCGAAACGAGCGAGATGTGCAGCGACGCGATGGCGGGAAAATGCGAAAATACCGATAGTCAAAATTCCGGCATTCGAAAACCCGACAACCAAAATACCTACAGCGGAGACCCCGGATTTACTAAAAGTTTGCGTCGTATCGAGCCCTTGACATTTCGGTTTGTCGGTATTTTGGATGTCGATAATTTGGCCAGTCGGGATTTTGGCCTGTGTCCTTTTCACTGTCACCATTCCGAATCTAACACCGAATTTGCAGATACAGATTTGTACATATGGCCGTTATAATGGCCTATCAGGGCTTCGGTAACCTGGATTTTGGTTGTCGGTATTATGTCCTGTCGGGATTCTAGTCATAGCGCGACAACTCAGAGGCGTTAAAATTCCTTTATGCTAAAAGTTCCGGGCCAATTTTGGCATCCGAATGATATAAACGAACGTTAAATGGGGGCAGATGTGGGCCGCGTATGAACCGGGAAAGTTGACTTGATGTGAATTCGGGCGGCGGCTAGACGATGCGAGGCAATCAGGGCACAAGCAAGGAGGAGGAATGGTCGACCGGTATCGGGGGGTAGAAAGATAGAGAGAGAGAGGGGGGTGATGAGTGGGGGCAAGAGTTACGTAGGAATATTGCCGCCTTGCTAAATTAGGTGAGCTGCGAGTACCCGAGAGAAAAAAATATAGGCGGTATGTGGATGGGTGGTCGGGGGAGAATAAACGAAGAGCCGAGAAATTGATGATCGAGGGTTCAGGCTTCGGTGGTGTCCATGGTTTCGTCGTCGAGGTCATTCTCCTTGTTATCGTCGTCGTTGGTGGGGTCGAGGCCTCCGTAGGGCAGCAGCCAAGGATGGGCGAGACACTGGCGAGCCGTGGCCCGCTCTTCGCCTGCGTACGCCAACATCGGCGTCAGGAACGAGGTCAACTGGCGAGCCTGAAAAAGCGTTAATTTCATAATGCAACTTTAATAATATCGAATCGTTAGAATGCGGAAATGGCATAATAACCTATCCTAAAAGCCAAGGAGTTAGTTTTCACAGTTTCATAAAGCCTAATATGTACGAGGTAAAATTTCATAATGCCTAATCGTCATAACCTGATTTTCGTCAATTAATCCAATAGTAAGCTCGACTTCAAAAATATACCTCCTTGAAGGGCCAGTTGTATTTGCCCACCAGCACATCGATCAAGCTCCACGGCTTCAACGTGGATATGTGTTGAAGTTTTCCTTGCTAAATTCAAACAATTGGCTTTAGAGAAAGTAAATACCCGATTGAAAAATTCTTTCCAGTGCTTGCCGCGCTTGTAGACGTTGGGCGGGATGGCGCCGAGCAGTTCGATGATGTGGGCGATGTGGTCCTCGTCACGATTGTAGGCGGGCCCACCGTGCGGCTCGAACAAGTAGTCGCCGGTCGCCAGTTCGAAGATCTAAAAAAGAATTCAATTACAAAGAAATATAGCTTTCTAAGCCTCAAAAGTTTTAAAATCAAACGCACCATGCAGGCCATGCTCCAAATGTCGGCTGATGTGTCGTAACCCGCTCCCAAGAGGACTTCTAGCGAACTAAATGGCAAAATTAGAAAAAAACTTTTCAGAGTTCATCTACCGATACTGGCGGGTCTGGATCTCCTCGGTAAAGTGTTGCGTGACCCAGCAGGCATTGCCGAGATCAGCAATCTAAAACGATATTAATTATTTCCCACAAAGTGCCCAAACCTTCACATCTATCATCGAGTAGCCGTCGAGGGATTTTGGGCCGAATGAGGGCTCCTCAAATTTGAGTTGCTCGCCGGCGGCAAGGAGCTCCTGTGCGCGCTTCAATGTAGGGATGACACATAAATCAAGGTTTTAAGGGTAGTTAAAAATTTTATGCACGTTACCAATATCCAAAAAGTCATAAATAAATGAAAAACACCTACCGGTGGGGACGCCAACAAGGTCAATCGACGAGTCCTCGTCCATGGCCGTAGAATTGGAGCTCAGTGAGCCGGGCCCCTTCTTTTTCGTCTTGCGCTGCTTCTTCTTCTTCTGATTTTTGGTCAACGGCTTTGGGTTGATGGCCTGGAGAAAAAAAAATTAGAATGTAAAAACAAAGATGCATAAAAATACCTCGTGCACCGCGCGCGCCGACAAGAAGGAGTTGCTCAGCGGCAGCCCCAGCTTTGCCGAGATCACGGCATGTTCGGCGATATCGTTGATCTAAACGATTTATTTTTACGATTTTTACACGATTTATATTTAACTTTTTTTGATGTTTTCCAAAAATGAAACTCACTTCTTGTTGGGTCATTGTGACGAGTACGTTTTCGGGTTTTATATCCGTGTGGATGATTTGGCATTTCTCGTGCAAGTAGGCGAGACCTTCGAGCATCTGAAACAGAAATAAGATGGTAAAAACCTTTCAAACCTGTTTACTGATATGGCGGACCATTTCGAGGGGAAGACCGTGATAATCGCTCAGCTTGATCATCTTCAGCAGGTTACAACCGAGCACCTAAGTCCCGAAGTAGTGTAAAAATACGAAACTTTCTATACCTCAAAAACCATGCACACGTGCGAGCCGTGCGGGCCGGAAACGTTGAAGCTGTCCAACAATTGAACCACACGCTTCCCAAACTCGTCGTCAGGGTCAGAGGTGCGGACAGCTTGCAAAATCTGAAAAAAGCAGATACAAAACAAATGAAGAAAAACACCTTTGACTCGTCGAGAGCCGCCTCGGAATAATGATCGGCCGACTTGACGACCTTGATGGCCACATAGCGAGTATCCGTCGTGTCCCAGCACAGCCATACGGTAGAAAAATGACCCCATCCGAGCTTGCGCAGCACGTGGTATCTAAAAAAATAAAATAATTTAATGGTAGCAATCAAATACCTATTTTGAAAAACATCGCCAATGTTCACGGGATGGTATCCGCCAACTTTGTAGTCATGCACAGATTCTTGGTCCGAGTCTCCGTCATCGTCGTCGACTCCTTCCTATAAAGATTGTAACTAGCCGAAAGCCAAAATAATACCGATTTTTGCAACGATGTTAACGAGGCTCCCCGGCTCTGGGAAACGTAGGGCGAGTCGTTTAGCACGATGACGTCATCCTCGCGGATCTCCGGCTTCGTAACTGGTCGTTCGATCACATCAACTTCATCCGATTCCGCCGGGCTCGGGGCTGGGTCCGGTTTTGGATCTTCCTAAAAAACCGATTTTAGCCTGAATATTTTTCCACACCTTTCGAACGGCAGGCTTGGCAGCAGCCTTAATCACTCTCTTCTTGGCCTTTGCCCCTCGAGCCATTATCTGAAAAAAGAATATATTTATAGATATCTGTAACAGAAAGAGCTGCAGGGAAAACAAGAACAGAACAATATGTACAACGATATCACGTTTAAAACTAGGGATTGTAACGCTGCGCATCCGAATCACTTCTCCTCCGGCCAGGACGAAATTCCACACCTACGGAACCCCGAAACTTTTCATCCTTCTGCGATCGCTGCTCGGTCATGCGATTTTCGGAGGCCTATCAATAAGTCTTCGAGCCCGACCGAATATTTTGCCGAGATAAAATGCATTGGCAAATCAGGCAGATCCGAAAATTCCTTTCGTACTGTCTTTTCATCAAAATCTCGCGGAGCCAGATCGATCTTATTGATCACCACCGTCGTTTGCTTTTGGGCTAGCTCCTCGTCAAATTGAGATATCTCGTAACGCAGCGCATCAAATTGCGCGCGCCAATCTCCCAGCGTGTAATCGAGCACGAAGAATAGGGCGTGGCATCGCTGAATATGCTTCAGAAACTCGAAGCCAAGCCCTTCGTTTTTATGAGCGTTCTCGATCAAACCAGGCACATCTGCGACGGGAATTTGCACGAAATCGTCGTATTCCACGATGCCGACGTAGGGTTTGAGAGTGGTGAAGGGATACGAAGCCACCGTCGGTTTTGCTCGAGAAATGGCTCGTAGCAACGAACTTTTCCCAGCATTCGGATAGCCAATCAGACCCGCGGACGCTATGACGCTCATCTCGATATCGTAGACCACCTCTTCGCCAGGGCCGCCTTGCTCAGCTTTCAGCGGTTTTCGTACTTGGTTCGATACGTAGAATTGGTTGCCTCTGCCGCCACCACCTCCGCGAGCACCGATAAAGATTTCCTGGTCTTGGCGTAGCGTAAACAGCTTCGAGTCGGCAACGTTGCGAAAGACAGTACCTACAGGCACACCGACAGTTTTGTGATCTGCCGATTTCCCATGGCTCGATCTTGGCTGTCCAGCAGCGCCGCTAGCTGCACGCAGCACGGGTGGTAGGCGCGACAAGTCGATTATTTTCTTGTTGGCTTGAAAAACTACATGGCCGCCATTGCCTCCATCACCACCGTCTGGGCCGCCGAAGGGCATCCGAAAGGCGCGCATGAACGAGATCATCCCATTGCCGCCAGCGCCCGCTTTGCACCGCAGACGCTTGTAGTCGACGAACGGGCGGGCTTCGGTTTCGCTCTTTTGCTTCTGGGGAAGAATTGGCCGGCATTCCGTTGATGAATGGCAGCAACTCGGGCGTGCAACCGGGCGGAGACTGGATATCCGGGCCGAGAGAAGCATCAGGGTCTAAGAATAAAATTTAGAATTGAGAAATGAATCAAATTAAAATTTTTAATAAAGCATGCTTTAGGTGAAGCTATTGAAAACAGCAAAAACCAAAAATTTCAAAAAAGGAAATGACTGGCTTTGAATTGCCGCAGTGCCGCGAGACAACTACCGACCGGACTTTTCGCGCGCTGTAAACATTTCAGCCCGGATTTTCGAACGTAAAGGATTCGGGTTTTGAAAAGATATTCTTCAATTCTACAATTTTTTCTAGATCCTCGCTCAGTAAAATGGCGAGATCTCCGTCCAGTTCAAGCTCCAGCTCGGCCTCTTCCGATGACTCGAAGCCTCTCTTCCCAGCCGATGGCAAAAGGTTTGTCTTGCTTGTTTTTCTAAACTCATTTTAGAGCCTCCAGCAAATCTCGTTCTCCAAGCCGAACCTCTGATCGGAGCAGCAAGTCGAGGTGAAAGCTTTGGGGCTGCGCTGATGACTTTGTTTAGAAGCAAGTCTCCGGTCAAGCGACGCAGAAGCCGAAGCGGATCTCGGGATCCACCAGCAAGATATTCTTCAAGACCAGTTAAAAGGTGAGTAAATTCGCTTTTAGAGTGCGAGGGTGAAATTGCTTGTCCAAAAAATATTCACAATTTAGGAGCCGTTCTCCGATTCAAGACCGTAGGCGTAAGCGCTCTACTTCTGTCAAGAAAGAGAGGAGCCCGAGCCCAGTGAAGAGAAGGAGCCCCAGCCCTGCGAGGAGGAGAAGCCCCCCACGGAGACGCGAACGCTCAACTTCTGCGAAAAAGGAAAGGAGCTCGAGCCCGGTGAAGAGGAGGAGCCCCAGCCCCTCGAGGAGGAGAAGCCCTCCCAGAAGACGTCAGCGTAGCAGAAGCAACGATCGGGGACCACCTCCTCGTGATCGTGATCGCCGCCGGTGAGTAGTCTAACAGCCGAGACGCTTGATTATTTTGTTTCAAAATCTCCTTTTTTAGTTCACGCTCACCGCCTCCTCGACGTGGTGACAGTCCTCCATGGAAGTCGGAAAAAAGATCAACCAGGCGACGATCGCGCTCCGGAAGCCCCGAGGATGATGACGACAAGAGAAAGCGTGGCGAATCGGAGTGGAAAATCAAAGAGGACCAGAAATGGAAAAAGTTGGAAATCTTTTTTGTCTCTGATTTCAATTTTTTTTAGGCGCAGAGACCACCGTGAAGCGATCGCCGAGGAGGGTGTGCAAAAGGTGTGGGGAATGTCGCCGACCCACGACGATATTCAGCACGTCTACGTTTTGTAAGTTATTAATTTCTGATTGTGGAAATATTTTGTAAACCTCCGCGTTAGCGATACCCAGTCACTTGTATTTTCATTTGATTGGCACAAATCAACGCAAAACCAAGATAAATAGCCGTAACACATTGCCAGGCGGGATCGCCAGGCTCTTATACAGGCTGTACAATTATTTTAATTCTATTAGATATTTGATGTCATTTTTGGAGGGACTTGAATGGTATCTCCCTTTCTCAGGCTAGAAGAAACTGAGCGGATGCGGGAAGAGGAGACCAAGAAATTCGAGAAGCAGCAAAAGGAGCGAGACAGGGAGCGCAAGGAAAAGATGAAAGCGGAAGGCAAACATAATTTTTCCAAATTTATCTTTCCTCAGGATTCAACGTGTCGGACAGTGGCAGCGACGACGATGACTCCACCGATTCGGAGGAAGAGAAAAAGAAAAAGAAGGCGAAGAAACAGAAGAAGGAAAAGAAGGCCAAAAAGGACAAGAAGAAGAAGGCCAAGAAGCGCAAGGCAGATTCTGATTCCGGTAGGAGTTTTTTTAGGTTTGACGACCTCTGCTTTAGATGACGACAAGAAGAAAGACAAAAAGAAGAAGAAGAAAAAGAAGCGCGAGGCCGAGGAAGTGGTAACTTATTTCTCGTAGGAAAATGCGTTCATTTTAGGAGTACGTGCCCAAATCCGAATCTGAAGAGGAAATGGCCGGTCCGGCGATTCCGCAAGACATCATCGACAGCGACAAGGCGTACCACGACATTGAGCGGCAATTGAAACAGTACGTTTTCGTTTTTGGGTTTTTATACTTTTGTTTAGAAGCAAGGATATGCTCCGGGGTGAAGCCGCGGCGATGGCGGCTTACGTGGCTCGCGGTGAGCGGATTCCGCGTCGAGGCGAGATTGGTCTGAGTAGCAACGAGATCTCCTACTTTGAACGGGTAACGATCTATACCGTACCCAAAGATTTCCGCTAATTTTAAGGTTTTTCCGCTAGTATAAGCTTTTTGTTTAGCGCGTTTCGATTTAAATTCTATTTTTAGGCTGGCTATGTGATGTCGGGTACTCGCCACAAAGCGATGGAAGCGACGCGGTTGCGCAAGGAAAACCAGGTAATACTTGCTCTCTAGCTTTTTTAAAACGTGAATTCCTAGGTCCTAACCGCCGACGAGAAGCGCCTGCTCAGCGGCTTCTCCCAGGAAGAGCGTCGCAAGAAGGAGGAGGCCGTCATGTCCCAATTCCGGCAACTCATCGACGCCAATCGCAAATAGTGGATCTGTTTTTTGTTGTCTTGTTTTCACTTTATTCATGGTTGTTTGTATTTGGGGACCGGGTCCCTCATAAACAGAAAATACACGCAAAAACGGGTAGCCATTTATTGTAATCAAAGCGTATCTGACATTTTTCAATATTCGTTCAATGCGTAAAAGGTGAATCGGGGCGATATGAAAGCTTCGGGCAATTATTCCTTCTCCTTCTTTTCATCGTCACCGCCACCTTCGGCCTCACCGCCGCCACCCCCGCCGGCGTTCTTCGCGTCAAACAGCTGATCGGGCGAGATCAGACCTGATGAGATCTGAAAAGCGTTCCTTCTTCCTTATTTTTTATGTTTTGATACTTCCGGGTTAGCTTATGTAGAAGTCTTAGTAGAAGTTACTAAAAAACTAATATAAAAATCCACTATATTTTAGGTTTTGAGCCTTACCAGCTAAAGGCGGTAAGGTAAGAATTTTGAGACTAACCGCCGACTTGACGACAAGATTGCCCAGGGCCTGGTAGTGGTCGTAGTGGATGACGGCGCCGTAGCGATGGCGGCGCACCATCTCGACGGTGGTGCGCAGGCCGACGAGTTTCTTCTCGCTGAGCCGCGACAGCACAATGTCCAGCGCGCAAAACGTGCCGGCTCGGTGGACGCCGGAGGGGCAAACGACCTGAATGGGCACGATTTCAAGCCGTAACAGACTTTTTAGGAAAGCCATCATCTTGAAAGAAAATTGGAAGGTATGACTCGAAAAAGGACTTTTCAAACTATTATAATTGCAAGTGTGTAAGTAAATTACCATCACAGGCCCGCAAATCTCCTTCTTTTTGAGGGCTTCTTTCTCGGCGCGAGCCTGTTGCACGAGCACCTGAAATTGAGCCATAATTACCTTAGAGTTTGTCCCGACGTGAGCACGGAGCTCGAGCAGCGCGTCCGGCACCTTCGAGTCGGTTGGCCACTTGCGGAAGTTGATGAGGGTGGTTTTGAAAATCTAAAAAACCAAAATTTCCGATCCCGAAGCTGTAGCTCACATCGGCAGCCTTTGCCTTCTTCTCCTTCACCTGGATCGTGTACCGCCGAGTTTCCAAGTCCTAAAAGGTTTATTAATAGCATTTTTTAGCTTGATTTTACCTGATCCGCTTCGGGCACCGAGACGATCAGCCTCCCGTCGCACAGCTTCATCTTGTCGTCCTTCTTCGGCCAGAAGCGCTCGTCCACCGTGCCGTTGCTTTGCTTCTTTTGCTTGTCTTTCTAGAACCAAAAGGTAGAGATATTAACGATCCGTACATCTCCGCCGGTGTCGACGAGCACGAGGATGATGCACGGGCGATGGCTGTACACCATGCGCCAAAAGTCTTGCGTCGTCTGCGTGTCGAACGGCGCCTGGGCCAAGATGTAGCCGTCTGAAGCAAATATGAGCTTATTAACCGTTATTAAAACTTTAAAACTCTAAAAATTATAAAGCCTACTCTTTTTAGTGTAGCTGTCGAGCCAGCTGGCGTGGTAGTAGTCGTCGTCGGCGAAATCGTCCTCCACGAGCACGCGCGAATGGTCGTAGAGCAGGATGTTAGCATGGCGGTTCTAAAATTGAGCTATTTTATAGAACAAACGATCGGAAAAAGTTTTAAAATACTATCTAGTTATTTTCAGAAACCACAAACCTTGGCCACGTTGTTATCATCCAAAAAGGCGTCGACCGATGGGGGCTCCTTGATGAAGTCGTTGTACCACTCCATCACTGCCTAAAAAGGATTTTCCGAGTTTTACAAGTTTCTAAACATTCAGCATAAGCTTCTAAGGCTCACCTTGCCCTTAGAATCGACAATCTGCTGCAGGAATTCTTCGGGTGCGGGCCCGGAGAGGTCATGTTTCTTTTTATCTTAAAAAAATATTTTAAAAGCTTTAGAAAATTGAAAAAACCAACCTTCTGGTGTCGCAGCCATCGATAAATGTATTTTTCAGATTCTCCACTTTCGCCCACAGCTCCAGATTCAAATTTTTGGACCCATATTTCGAGATTCAAGGCGCTAACGTAAATTTACGCTTAAAAAGCCCTAAAAAGCCAGTTATCCAAAGAATCCCTGCTAGCTCGCCTTTTTCAATAAAAACGTAAATAGATTTGTCGATAACGACCATTTTGCTGTATTTGCGGATGCCGACATTGTTTGAACAGCCGATTGTCTTTTCATATACATCTCCCACCCCAATGTAACCCCGATTTTTTTCAAACAATGCCCCATATTTCAGCAAAATCACTCGTCGTACTTTTCGCGTTTGTTGTTTGTATTGTTAGTAAGTTATTTTGACAAGTTTTAAACATTTTAAAGGCGATGCGAAGCGTAGTTTTACGCATACATCGAAATGGCGGGATTTCTAACGCTTTATACTTCCCAAGCGTCAGAAATGGACTTTCGTTAAGAGACATTTTTAAAATTTAGCAAGTTTTAGGCATTTCAATTGTATTCCAAAGCTTCGTTTTACCCTTACCTCGAAATTTATCGAAATATCAAAGTAATTTTCAGTGCTTTATACTTTGAAAAAAGGTTAAAGGTTGAGCTACAGCGCGAGAAACTTTTAGCAAGTTTTGGAACGTTAAAAAAATTCTATAAAACTTAATCTGTCCGCGACGAAATAGTGTAATTTTAGCGCTTACCCCCTTGATAGAGTTCCACGCTTCTGTTTTTCAGATATTTATCGTGTCTTCAATTCGAGCTGCAGCTCAGAAGCTTCTGATCAAGGGCCAATCCTGGAAGACGATCGGATACCGCCATTGCCTAGACCGGAAGTGCCAGGCTTGCAAAATCAAGGCCACAACGTCAAGCGAGCGGCTGCCAAGGTCAAGAAGGGCGCAGAATGCGGGATTGGCGGTAAGTCCGAACAGGGCAAGCTAGCAGAGGTTTTTAGACCTAACTAGAAAAGGGGTATCGTTTTACAGGAGGTCTTTATAGCGTTTTTAGATAGTTTTTGAATTTTAAAAAGCCATGAAGAATGTTAGAGACTTTCAAATTTGGGAATTTTTGACCAAAAACGAATTTTTACGAACTTTCGATGCTTCAGAAAACATAAAAAGCGCGATAAATGCTTTGTATTTGATCATTGGCGTCCCACCGGCCTCATAGGCCAAAATCAGCCCCCCTCCGCTAAGTGATTAGCGCCAAAATAGCTAGGAAAACCCTGTTTACGTATCATTTCCAGTGCGTCTGGCCGGGAAACAATGCCCGGAGGGGTCGGTGCCCTTCGGCAGCGAGTGTTATGTGCAGACTTGTTTAGAGGTTAGCCATTTTTCATTGTTTCTCACTATTCTCTTTCCCTCAACCGTTTCCATACGTTTTCCAGGAACTGATAGCCTCACGCAAGCGACCAAAAGCCATCGAAACCGTGCGACCAATTTATTAAAGAAAAGGGAATAAAGATTTAGGTACAACCTTTTACATACAATATAAATGATTTAATCCACTTTACAACAGTTTTGCACTCTATTTTCGATAGTTTACATAGATTTTGGATCGATTTAAGTCAAGATTTTATGAAAAAAACCCTGAAAAACCGATTTTAGGGATTTTAAGCTAGTGTTAATGGCCTTATAGGGCTTTTAATGTTAGTTTCGCTCAATTTAGGTAAAGATATAGTAATAGTAAATAGTGTATGGCAATTTAGAGCACTGTATGGCAGTTTTAAAATATTTTAAATCATTTTAAAGTTATTTCCGGTCTAATTAAGTTAAGATTTAACGATAGAAAACTGCGTAAATCAATTTAATAAATTTTTACGAAGATGTTCTACTCGAATTTCCATAGTTTAGCCGGTTGTGTTTAGCCTGTAAAAAGGAAAGTTACATTTTCTCAATTTTCCGCCAGTTTCCAAAACCCTGTTTTGCAAGGAAAACTCCAGAACAATCCAAATGACGAAATCACAATGAAAAAAGAAAGAACGAGACGGCCTTGAGGGCTGAACTTTTGGTTCTTCCCCACTTTCATCCGGTCACGTGTCTGATTATCTTCCAAAGCCCAAAAGATCAGACAGGAACGCGCCCAGCGCTCGCGCGCCCACTCGTCAGTGCATCTTTTTTTGGATTGGAAATTACTCTCCACTTGAAATCGCATAAAACGAGGGAAAACATGCTATTTTTAGTGTGGGACCTACAGGTACACAACTGTGGTAATCGGACGGTGATTAGTCCCTTTGAAAATAAACAAACAAGTTAGCGCATTGACCATGTAGTGTTGAGGGGGAATTTGGCAAGAAACCAGAGGTTTTTGAATGGCCCTGAATGATCTCCGCTAGCTTGCCTCTGGCCTAGGCTTAGGCTGAAGCTTGGTTGAAGCTTAGGCTTGACTTAGATTCCAAGCCAGTCTGTCATTACCCTCAAAAGCATTATAAACCCCGAACTCTAACAATCCAACGGTTCAACCCACCACAATGCCAACTTCCCAAAAAGCCCATCTTCCCCCGAAACCAGCCCTTTCCATCGCAAAAAGCGTCACAAACTACATCACCCCGCCCGCTGCACGCCGCGATGACATTTCCGCATTAACGACTTCGCGACTACGGTAGCTAGAGCTATTTTTAGAAGGTGTCATCTTTGGAAGCGGAGCCTCACGTAGCCGCTGTGTAGATGGTGCGCAGAACAAGGCCGCGCACACAGCACACACAGACTAGAAATCGTTTGGAGTGCACAGGTTCGATGATATCAACAGTTTTCTTTTGGAAAGAGCACCCATCTTTCAGAGTTTTCTCAGCTCTTTCACGTCATAGAGAAAAGAGAGAGAGAGAAGAGAGAGAGAGAAAGCTACAGAAAATTGTGGTTTTGCAAAAAAGCTATTTTCTGTGCTTTAAAACCCTAAAAATTGAGAAAACTGATAAAATATACTATAAAGTTGGGATAAATCTAGGCTTGAGCCTAAGCTAAGCCAAAGCCTTAGCCTAATCCTAGACGAAAGCATAAGCTTAAGCCTGGGCCTAAGCAAAGCCTAAGCTTCCCCTGGTCGTCAAAATGGCAAAATGTTCTGGAACGATTGGCATGCTCACGGCCTGGCAAGGCAAGCCAGCAGAGATCCTTGCGGAAATTGAAAAACTTCCGCAATGCTCCAATGTACCCCTGGCTCCAAAGAACGCCCAAGAACACCTTGTCAATACGGTGCAATGCGTAGTTTCTGGTCCCCAGCCAGCACCCCTTGTGCAGCAGTACCCGTTTTTAGCGCACTAATTGGATCATTTCGACATACAGTTTAGAGGGTGGAGCCGGTGGGCGGAGTTTGGATACGGTATAAATGGGTGCATGATAGCTGTGAGGACAACAAACAACCAATCTCTCAAATCGGAACTATGAGATCATCGCTGCTGCTCTGTCTTGTTTCCCTCATCGTGGGAGCTGTTTTTGCTGGACGGGCGCCAAGGGTGAGTCAAAAAAAATAAGGGGGAAAAAAAAAGGAACCCCTGCTAGTTTACCTTTCAAAATGTCATAAAAACGAGTGCTTTGCTCTAAATTTACTTCCTAAAGAATCTCTGCTAGCTATATTTTTCTTATAATTTTTTTTTTTTTCTCCCATTATATTCCCTAAAAGTTTTCTCCCGGGTTTGCCCGAAAAACCTCATGAAAACTAGCTTTTTACACTAAATTTTATTCCTAAGGGTTCTCCGCTAGCTTGCCTCGCGAAAATCCTCAAGGCTTTCGGCTATCTGGCTTTAGAGCAAATCCTAGAGTCTCTGCTAGTTTGCCCAAATTTAAGTAAAATATAATTTTTCAGGAACGTCGTCAAATGCCCTCCGCTTTCTACTACGGCGCTGGAGGGAACGCCATCGGAGCGTACACTCCCGTAGGCCTGGCCTATAACCCGCTACGCATCGCTCCGCTGACGAATTGGGGACGGAAGAGGAGGAGTGTCGAGTAAGTCACTCTCTCGCTCTCTCTCCCTCTATATCTCTCTCTCCCTCTCTCTCTCTCTCTCTCTCTCTCTCTCTCTCTCTTTCCTTCCCTTTCGAGCCCCTTTAAAACGCTTCGAAAGTCCGTATTTAGGACTGACCGTAGCCGGAGAAGCCCAGCCAGCTACAGCGGGGTTGGGAGCGAAATGGTCGAGAGGGTGGCGGCACTCAGCAATTGGGGCCGAAAGAGGAGGAGCGTGGTACGGTAGGTGGCGCATTTTTTAGGGGTTTATAAAGAACCCGGGAGGGCCGCAATAATCCACAAAATCTTACAAAATAAAGCGGATTTTAAGGGTATCATTGTAAGATTCTGGCAATTTTAAAATATTATTTATACGGAAAATTAACGATTTTAACCTATTTCCGCTAGTATCCAAACTGTGATACGTTAAAAATAAGCAGTTTTTGACCGTTGAAAACCAGCTTTTTCCACAGTAATCGATTTACCGGTCCATGGTATCCTCTCGGAACCCGCTAGATCACTCTAAAAAAATCTAAAAATCCACATCAAATTTCGTTCTAAATTTCTAAGAAAATCGGAGGCGCATAGAATCGCGGGGTTCCGAGTGCTCTTTCGCACTTCTTGTTGCCAGATAATACGGTAGAAAGACCACTAAATAATCCTGAGAAAGCATACCGAGAATTTCTTAACTTGCGGCACGGAAATGCCGAAATTCACGGAATCAGGGGGTCGCCAGATGATTGGCCTGGGGAAATTTCGAATTTCCGTAACTATTCCGTCCGCTTACTCACTCCGGGGTTTCATGTGAACTTTTCAGGGCTGAGAAAGAACACGAGGAGGTGCAGCTCGAGCGCGTGAGGCGCCAGATGCCGTCCCACTTCTTCTACGGTAGCGGCGGGAACGCGATTGGGGCGTACACTCCCGTAGGGTTGGCCTATAACCCGCTACGCATCGCTCCGCTGACGAATTGGGGCCGATAGAGGCTTGCTAGTCCCTTTAAAATGTATATATTATTTTTAAAGGGGGGGGGGGAGAAGCATGGGTTTTATTTTTATAAGGTTTGAAGATTTTTTCCAGTTTTTAGCTAAAAACTTTCGAAAAATTATTTTAACCGTTTTAAGCCCAAATTCATACTTCTTAAAGTTTCTCTGCTAACATACCATGTAGAAAAATTTGGCGTTAATGTTTGCGCCAAATTACCAATAAGAAACAGTAGCTAACAGGTGCAAAATTCGGGGAAAAGCTCAAAAGTTCAGCCGTCCACCCGGAACTTTGGGCTTTCATTATTGCACCATTTTCCAAACGTTTCCCCGTTTCTACCCTAAGGTTACCCGCTCCTTTAAAATATATTTTTTGCTCAAATTACTGTAACCTAAATTTTACAAACAAATTATTTATGCCCTTGAAACTGATCTTGGCTGATAAAGCCTTTCCTGTGAGTTTTTCGTCTTGATTTTTCACATTTTGAGTTTTGTATTTTGTTTTGGACCTTTCAAACGATAGTGTACGGTACCTAATTATGTTTTATACAAACCACAAGATCTGATTTTTTTTTTTTTTCTGGTCACATCACACATACTATTCTTTTACTTCCTTACATATTACATATCAATGTTCTTTTGCACTATTTGTACAGCATTTTTTTGGAATAAATCACTTTGTATTTTTATTGTACTTGCCTCAATTATTGAATTGGATTACATTGAATCAACGAAAACGCCAAAATCACGACAAATTTAAACCGACAGCCAAAATCCCGACAGGCAAAATGCCGAAAGTCATAATGCCGACAACCGAAATCCTGGCAGCCAACCCCGACATGCAAAATTGCAGCCGAAGAGGAATCGGCATTCAAGCTAGCGTCAGGAATATTTCGGGATTTTGGTCTGTCGGGATTGTTGCCGACTTTTCTGGTCAGGTTAAGGCTGGAATACCAAAAGTCTCTGCTAGTTTGCCAACAAACCATTCCAAGTCCTTCAGAAAATCTTTACGGAATCTCTGCTAGCTTGCCCCCTTCCTCAAAGAATCTCTGCTGGCTTGCTCGAACTCGAGAACCTGATTTTTTACATAGCCTACAGCAACCAGTTAATAGCTACTAATTAAAAGAGACTTGACCAAATCGCGTTTCTTCAGACAAATAATAAAGTTGCATTTTCGGACAGCCGCGTTTTTCCCGGAATTTCCGCACCACCTGCCCCGTCCTTAGGCGACCAGCGTGATCTCTAGCGTTTTTTTGGGCTACAGTTCAATTCATCGCCATTAAAAAACGGTTAAAAATACGACTTGTTTATTGATACGGCCCGTAATGGCTTGAAATCTTTTGCTGGCTAGCCACTTGAATTAAAACGATTTTCAACATATTGTTTCAATAAGAAGTCTTTTTCGCTTTCTTATAATTTTTCCAGTTTTCTTTATGCTCCAATCTTTCCGTTTTGTCCTAATGACGCGCTGTAGTGCGTTGTACATCGGAATAATAAAAAACGGCTCCAATCGCCAATTTCCTGTAAATGACTAGAAAAAGAGCTTTTAGTTGTTTTCAATAACAAGGACGTTTTATAGCTTTTCTCTCTCCTTCTCTCTCTCCCTTTCTCTCCCTCTCTCTCCTCTTTCTCTACTCTCTCTCTCTCTCTCTCTCTCCCTCTCTCTCTCGCTCTCTCTCCACTCTCTCTCTCTCTCTCTTACTCTTTCTCTGGCTCTCTCTCCTTTTTTTATTGACCGAATTGAGAGCACGGGTCCTTTAAAGCACATAAATCGGGAAATAGCAATCAGAGACCAGAAACTCGTTTAGGCCATTCCCTGGGGGTGTTAAAGTGAAAACCGCGAATTTTTACATCTTTAAATTTGCACGCAGCGTAATTTAATGCGGATACCGTAGAGCAGGAGAGATCAAATTTGCGGAGGTGTCTGTCACCTTCCCCTCGATTTTACACTCCACAAAGAACCTCTGCCAGCTTGCCGTTTCCGGATTTCTGAAAGAACCTCTACAAGCCCCGTTGAGCCTGTCTCTCTCGCGCTCTCTCTCTCTCTCTCTCTCTCTCTCGCTCTAGCTCTCTCTGGCTAGAAGAGTGATGAAAAAACTCGGCGTTTTCAGAATATTTATCCGAAATGGCACTGAGTTGGCAGCAAATCTTCGAGCTCGTCTCGGTGGTCGTCTACATCTATGTAGAATACCGTATCTGGACCTCCAAGAATCGTCTTTTCCACTCTCCATTCTACTCCATATTTTTGACAGTTGGTGAGCAATTTTATAATTTTTCGAGCTTTGATTGTATTCGGTTTATGAAAATTTAATCCATATTTTAGGAATTCTCGACATTCTCTATGCCCCTTTCAACGAGTTTAAGATATTTTTCGGGTATTCTCCGCCGGCACGCACGATTTTGGGGATGATTACAAAGGTGTGTAACGGACTGGGAGAGGTGGTAGGCTAGCAGAGATCATTTGCGTGATATGTGTGATATGTCCTTACCGATACTGTTAGGGTGTCTTTAAACAGCGGCAAAAGCGGTAGTTTAGACATTACGCGACGGGCACTACTATCTACAAGTGGTCATGTCGGCGAATCGGATGACAATTGTTTTATTTCCCACCACGCATAATCAGGTAGGGGAAGATATCCTTCACCTTATTAACGCATGACATACCTTAATTAACCGTACTCTGGCGTGTTGTATCGTAGTCTATTATTTTATTGCACCTTATATTACCAGGTCTTGCGATCTTGTTTTTGCGTACTCAATCGTGCTCCGCGTACTGCAGCGTAGTATTGTGTACTCTATCATACTGTAACTTGCATAGCGAAGTCTTGCGTACTGTAATGTGCCCTATAGCCGTGACAGTGTAGCCGTGCGTCCTGTAAGGTACTCTATACCACCGTAGCCTAGCGTTGCGGGCGGTAACGTACCCTAGCGTATTCTTGCGTATTCCATCGTACGCTAGTCTTTTTGCGCAGTATCAGCTGGTAATCGATCCTTCTTAAGCTATGGCGCCATGAAAAAGTGCGAAAAGTGATCGTGTTCTGCTTGGTGCTAATGTGCTTCACCCAAATTTACACCCCGGTGATGATCATTATTTTCGGGTGGAAGGATGAGCAGATGAACTACCCGAATATTCAGGGTTTTGACCAGGTCCGCATTTTAAAGGGACTGAATTTAAAGGGAATTGAGGGCAAACTAGCTTTTAAACCTTTAAAAAACCTTTAAAAACCAGGCAATTCCAGTGGAACCGCGCCTTCTACGCCGTGCAACTTCTAATTCCGGTCGGGGCATGCCTAATCATGAGCCTCATTACCCTGGGAAAGATACGGTAACCGGCTCATGCCAATATCAACCCGAACTCAGTTGTTTAAGGGGTCTCCAACCCCAATGGAGTCTGTTGGTCATCACCATTGTCGGCACCGTCATTTCGATTCCGCCTACCGTATACCAGGTACTGTAGGTTGGAGTGTAGTTTGTAGCTTAAAAAAACGTGGCATTTTTATGGCAGTAAAAGAATACGCTTTAAAGGAACGTACAAATTTAGACGCTGATGTCATTTGCGAGTTTTACCGGGAATGAGGGCCTCGAAAAGGCGGTTTATTCGGCGATGGTATGTTAAGCGACGCAGCGTACTTGAGAGTACGAGAGCGTAATGTGGCGTACGTTAACGTGCAGTGTCTTACTCTTATGTACAGTGGCGAACTAACGCGTGCAGTGTCGTAGTTTTGCGTACGGTATCGTACTGAGTCTTACAGTATCGTCCTATTTCGTACCTTACCGTACCGCACCTCGTATGTATTGCGTCGTACCATAAGTATTGTAACGATGTCTGGTGTACTCTACCGTAGCTTATCGTGCTCTAGAGGAAATTTTAGAGCTGGTGGGTGTTTCTGGCACCCGGCTACTATCAGCCCTATTGGCTACTTATCGTTTCCGGCGATGCGAGAAGGGAGTGCTTTAGGATTCGAAGAGCTCCACGTGTAACAGTGAGTTAGAGAGAGAGAGCGAGAAAGAGAAGAGAGAGAGAGAGAGATAGAGAGAGAGAAAGAGAGACAGAGTGAGAAAGAGGGAGAGAAAGAGAGCGAGAGAGCGCGAGAGAGAAAAAGATAGTGCCAGAAAAGCCTAATTTTTTAACTGAACCTGAATTCCAGCACGATCCAACGGTCACCACTCGAATATCAACAGATCGATGGCCACGCGTTGGGTAGAAAAGTTCTCAATATCTATGCAAATTTAGAATTGTGATATATTTGCTTATGGGTGCATTACCGAGGCAATAAATATTTATACATCATTTTTGTGCAATCTGTAAACATGGAATACAAGTTTTAAGGTTTTGTTTTTCTTCAAGAAGTTGCTAGCAACTTTCCCATCGTATGCTACCCAAAATCTGACGTCGCCAGGAGGGTCGGATTGCATCCAGGAGTCCCAGGAAGTTGCAGGTGCAGGCTTGGGGGTGTGTTAAAGGTACCGGGAGGCGAGTATCCAGGGGTTCTCTTTCTGACCTCCTCTCTCTAGCTCTATCTCTCTCTCTCTCTCTCTCTCTCTCTCTCTCTCTCGCTAATTTATTAGATTATTCTGTTCCAGATCTGAAAAGACCCAAATCCAATCTAGGATCCGGAATAACAATCTGGTTTTGTATTGCCGACCAAAGCTTGCGAAACAAAGCAAAAATAGCGGTTTTCAAGGTTTAATTTTTTCCAAAATTCTCTGCAAAATCAAGGCTAGGAAATAAAATTAATTTGCGAGTTTGCAGCTTTTATCGGTGTTTTCACTGCAATTTTCGGCCCTAAAAATCCGTGAGAATGCGCTGATGTCATTTATACTGGCCCCAGTAATGGAATTGAGGTGTTCTCTAGGTTTCTCGATTAGATTTCGGCGCACAAAGTGTCCGAAAAATGGACGAAAAATGCGATTAAAATGGGTGGGATTAGGTGATCCTCGGTGCAGCCCCCTGCCCTTCTGCTGGATTCGAATTTCCGGATTCACATCCGTGGGAGAGGGATGGTCCGCTCCGCAGTCCAACGCGATACCCCCACACCAAAGGGGTCGAGTGGGTGGGGGCGGCGGAGGGGCCCCAAGTACCCTAGGGCCGAACCGGTGCACGTTACTGGGCAAGAATTCAAAATAAAGCTATTTACAAATAATAATAACGAAAAATCCTACGGAAAAGATTGCTAAGGGCAAGGAAAATACTCCCTGAAATTCCTGAAGTGTTTTATACCCTTTCCGACGATTTTTTTAATTAAAAAGCGCCCCAAAAACCTATTGCCGCTCAGAACATGGCTGCCTTCTATCCAGTCAGCCTCAAATTTTTACCATCGATGGGGATGGCCAAAAACTATTTTTATGGAAAGTTCCAGCCAAAAATATCGTCAATCAAAAAAGTTATGGCTATAAACCCGTTTTCTGGAAACCCAGTCGGGGGTTTTGGGGGCCCTTACGCGATGGAAAGCGTGCATGGTATCGCCCCGTCGGTCCCTCACCCCTGGGGGCGCCCGGCCATCTTTCCAAGGGTCCCCTCGCCTAACCCAAGTCAAAGCCTACGTCTAAGCCTAAGCCAAGCCTAAGCTAAGCCTAAGCTAGGCCTAAGCTAAGCCTAATTTAAGCCCAACCTAAGCCTAACAAGGGGTCGTTTTTTAGTGTGAATGGAGTTTTGGGTCGAAACCAGGCCTATTTTGTGCAGAATTTTCCGCTGATTCGGAATATGTTTTCGATTTTTGCTAAATAGCTCGATTTAAAAAGTTACAGCTATTTTAAGATGATTTTTAGGCGCAGAGTAGCCATATGCCATGATGTGCTACTTTTTTGTTTTAATTTTCCAATTTATTTTAAGTAGCCTATCTTGTATAGAATTTTTTTCTGACTTGAATGGTATATTTGATTAGTGAGCTACTGCCGACCGATGATCACTTACAGGGGTGAGAAACAGGTAGTTTTCACCATCTCCCATACAAAAAACGGAGTCCATACCAAGTATCGTCAATTTTTTCGATTTCCAACAATTTTGAGTTAAATAGCTCATTAGATAGAAAAAATTTTTCTGAGTACGATGACGATATTTATTTTTGGAAAATCAGCCGGGAAAAGCAACATAATGGGCCTTAAAGATGGGAAAATTTGGGCGAAATGATCTTAAAATTGCTGTAACTTTTTAAATCGAGCTATTTAGCAAAAATGGAAAATATATTCGGAATCAGCGCAAAATTCTGCACAAAATAGGCCTGGTTTTGTCTCAAAACCCCATTCACACCAAAAAACGTCTCCTTGTAAGCCTAAACTAAAACCAAGCCTAATCTAAACCTAAGCTAAGCCTAAGCTTAAACTGGGTTAAGCCCAAGCTTGATCCTAAGTCTATGCCTAAGCTAAGCCTAAGCCTGGGGAACAGCCCAAGCCCGCCAGGCCCAAAATTTGCTTTGTTGTTCATATCTTTACTTCAATTCTTTACTTTTAGCAGAATCGGAGCGCCCGTTTTTTGCAGACGTGTGTTCATAGGAATCGTCGCGTAATTTATCAGCTATTCCGTGGGTACCCACAGAAAATAATGCAGATGGGTAATTGAGGCTAATGAATTAATGAACGGAGTTCGGCTGAGCAGACTAGCAGAGATCCTTTGGGAATTCGAGATGGGAGGCAGCTAGCAGGGCACCTTTGGGAATTTTGGTAGGACAGCATAATTTTTTGAGGAATTCTAGCTATGAGGGCAGCGTAGCAGAGATCATTTGGGAATCCAGAGCGATCCCTTAAGTATAATGAATTTATCCGCTGCGTCATCTTCGTCATTTCAAGTGGGGCGACTCATTTTCTTGGCTGATCAAATTTCGGGGCCCATTCAGGGGTGAAGCCGGGCCCAGATGCCAACAATGTTTATCTCTCTCTGTCTCTTGCTCTCTTTCTCTCGCTCTCTTTCTCTCTCTCTCTCTCTTTCTCTTTCTCTCTCGCAAAAATTCGCGCTCCAACCCCACAGCTGTCCAAATATTACCCCCGGATTTGCGCCCTGGCAGGGGCTCTTGATTTTCAATTTTCAACCATTTTTGGGTGCTGCTAGACTCTTTTCTAATTTTTCAGAGTCCTAAAGGACCCAGCAAGCTGGAATCTACGATTACAGTAGCCTACAAACCATCACTGTTGTCCTAGCCCCTTTAAACCCGGGTCCGGAAATCACCGGAAAACCCCCGGCAATCTTTGAGGTTTGGCCCGGCTCTTGGGTCCGAAAATCTCCCGGAAACTTCATCAAACCAAGGAGAAGCTTGAAACGTAGAGAAAAGGTGTGAATCTTTTTCTCTGTCGCTGTCTGTTTGTTTCTCTCTATCTCTCTCTCTATCTTCTCTCTCTCTCTCTCTCTCTCTCTCTCTCTATCTGAGTTCACAAGGGCCAAGAAGCACCAAATAGGGTCGCGAGCAAATAAAATAAATTTAGAAGTTGGGAGAGAGAGAGGGAGCGAGAGAGAGAGAGAGAGAGAGAGAGAGAGAGAGACAGAGAGAGTGTGAGAGAAAGTCGAAAGCCGTGACAAGGTCTAGAAAAACGATGAAGCCTCCTGAGATCTCTGCGTCACTCTGAAGCGTTCCTCCCGTAGATCAACGCCCGGGGGCCGCCAATTTCGCCGTTTTTGCCGCGTGTCCACTGGATGGATGCGTCGCCGTGCAAATCCAAAAAAGCGTTCCGCTGCATTCCTCTTTACATGGCTGCTGCCGGGGAGGGGGGCCATTAGATGCTGCTTGATCTCGTGATATTTGTGGGTACGGTGGGGCTTCTCTCCATTTTTCGGAATTTGCTTCCAATTTCCTCAAAGAATCTCCGCTAGCTCGCACTTCCAATTCCTCAAGTTCTTTGCTAGCTTGCCTTGAAATCCTTGAAATTCCCTAAAGCCCCTGCTAGCAGGCCATTCCTCAATAATCTAGGCTAGCCTGCTCATATCACATTCCTCAAAGAATATCTGCTAGCCTGCTCCTCCAATTTCTCAAGGAATCTTTCCTGGCTAGTAGCTACCATCCAACTCCTCAAAGAATCTCTGCTAGCCCGCCTAATAATTTTCCAATCTCTCTCTCCCTCCTCCCTCCTCTCCCTCTCTCTCTCTCTCTCTCTCTCTCTCTCTCTCTCTCTCTCTCTCTCTCTCTCTCTCTCTCTCTCTCTCTCTCTGCCTATCTCTT